TAAGGGAGGTGAACAAGAGAGTCATTGACATTCATCCCACTGTCCCCAACCCTTATACGTTACTCAGTACCCTGCCACCAGATCGGTAATAGCATACCGTTCTGGACCTCAAGGATGCCTTCTTCAGCCTGCCACTAGCTCCCAGCAGTCAGCCCTACTTTGCCTTCGAATGGCATGATCTGGAGGCAGGAATCAGTGGCCAGCTGACATGGACGTGACTGCCTCAAGGGTTTAAAAATTCTCCAACTATATTTGATGAGGCCCTGCATGAAGATCTGGTTGAGTACAGAGCCCAACACCCCAACATAAGCCTGTTACAATATGTAGATGACTTACTGATCGTGGCACTGGACCAGAAGTCCTGCCTGGAGGGGACAGAGGACTTACTCCACATACTTGGGGACTTGGGATACCGAGCCTCAGCAGAAAAAGCTCAGATATGTCTGCAAGATGTGACTTACCTAGGGTACATCCTCAAGGAGGGGCAGTGGTGGTTGACTAAGGCCTGCAAAGAGACTGTGATAAAGACCTGCACCGACCTCCAGAAAACAGGTGAGGGAATTCCTGGGTACCGTGGAGTTCTGCTGAAATTGCAAAACCCCCACATGAGGCTACCAAAGAAGGACAGGACTTCAACTGGACGCAGGAAAGGAAAGAGGCCTTTGAAACCCTAAAACGCAAGCTCTTAGAGGCCCCTGCCCTAGGACTACCAGACATAAGTAAACCTTTCTGTCTACATGTGGATGAACGTAAAGGTATTGTGAAAGGGGTCCTCACCCAGAGAGTATGCCCCTGGAAGAGACCTACTGCATACCTATCAAAGAAATTAGACCCCGTAGCAGCTGGATGGCCCCCCCTGCCTGTGAATTATAGCAGCAGTGGCCCTGCTGGTTAAGGATGCTAACAAGTTAACCCTGGGACAGGACATGCTTGTGGCAACCCCTCATGCCCTCGAGGTGGTGCTCAAGCAACCCCCCATCGATGGTTGAGAAATGCCTGATTAACTCATTATCAGGCTCTGCTCCTAAATCTGCCCAGGATCACCTTCCAGGTACCAACGGCCCTGAACCCAGCCACGCTGT